GGGGTCTCCCCCCGCCCCGGGCCAGCGCGTGCGTTCAGCCGGCGGCGCAGGATCCGAGTCGCGCAAGGTGGCGGCGGCAGCGGCGGCGGCGGCGGCGGCGGCGGCGGCGGCGGGCGGTTCGGCCGAGGAGGAGGAAGTGATGGACCACGGGAACGCGAGCTACGCGATGTTGGAGCAGAACCTGTTGGGGCCGGGCAAGCGGCAGCGTGAGGTGACGAAGGAGGCGGTGCGCAGCGGAGAGCCGTACGCGTTCTTCGACGCGCTGGTCGAGGAGCTTGTGCAGGACCCGCGGTGCGAGGAGTTTCTCAACCCAGTGCTCGAGCTGTATGACGAAAAGGACGTGCCTGGGTATATGGAGCAGATTAAACGGCCGATGGACCTTGGGACTATTAAGAAGAGACTTAAGGGAGGGGAATATATCAAGGAGACGCGCGGGGTGTTTGAATTTGACCAGGAGGAGTGCGGGAATGATATCCGACTTGTGTTTGAGAACTGCATGGACTACAACGACCCGAAGAGCGACATCCATGTGATGGCACGCAAGCTGCTGAAGAAGGCGACGACAATGATCTCGCGGCTGGAGAGCAAGCTGGAGCGGGAGGAGGAGAGCGCGCAGAAGAAGCTGAAGCGCGAGCAGGAGCGACGGCGGACGAAGAAGGCGGAGGAGGAGGTGGCACGGGCGGCCGAGCAGGCGCGGAAGGCGTCGGCGGCGATGGAGAAGCTGAAGCGCGAGGCCGAGGAGGCAGAGCGGAAACGGCTACAGGAGATCAAGAAGAAGGAGGCGGAGTGGAAGACGAGGATGCAGCAGGAGAAGGAGAAGGCGGTGGCCGCGGCCGTGCAGGAGGCGCTGGCGAAGAAGGAGCGGGACGGGCGGGTGATGAACACGAGCAGCGTGAGCTCGGACGAGCACGACGGACGCGGCGAGGTGACATTTGTGTTTGTGTCGACAGTGGGGATGGAGAAGAAGCGCGGGCGGAAGAGCGGGCTGGTGATGGAGCTGGAGCGCGGGCACGACGAACTGATGAAGAGGAGGAAGGTGATGATCGAAGCGTGCGTGGAGCTGGAGCGGCTCAAGCAGGTGGAGATGACGTACGAGGAGAAGAAGGCGGTGTGCGACGAGGTGGCCGAGTTGGACTTTGTGAGGATGAAGGCGGTGGCGGATATCCTTGCAAAGGGGATGAACAGACCGGATATCCTCAACGAGGTGGAGGTGGACGTGGATGTGGACCATGTGGACAATGTGGTGCTGCGCGAGATCCAGTTGCTGCTCAACAACCCGGCGGCTAGCACCGCTAAGGACGCGCTGCGGCAGGTCGAGAGCGATATCGCGGACATTGAGAGCAAGCTGCTGGATCAGAGATACAAGGAGATCGGCGGGTAAGAGAGAGGGTTTTTTTATTGGGGAAAGCCAGGGAGAGGGAGAGAGAAGGAGAGGGAGAGAGAAGGAGAGGGAGATAGAAGAAGAGGGAGGGAGAGCAAGTTGAGGGGATGTAAAGAGAAGAGTGCATATGAATTATGTGGTGTGGTTATGTGGATGGGGCTGGGTGTTTGTCTTTTGTTGTTCTTTAATATGCAAAGCCCAGTTTTGTAAACGGGAAGACGTAAAAATGGCAACGTTGTTTTCATAGTATTCAATGTGCATATAGGCGTATTCACACACAAGACAAAAGATAGGCAACAAAGACTAGATAAGTAGATAGAATGAAAATGAATTGATAACAAAGCAAATCAACTCAATAAGGCCCCACAACGGTGGTTTAAAATTTCCAGCTAACAAGTCGTCCATCACTTTTTTTTCTCCACGCCCGCAATCTTGTTCATAACAATAGGGACGGTCCTTGCAATCTCCCTCTCCACGACCTTCCCCGCGGCGCGTTGCATGACAGGGTTAGCCATGCTCTGCTGCAGCCTGGGGACGCCCGCGGCCGTAGCGACGGCGTCGAAGCCCTCCTGCACGACGCCGCCCGACTTGCCGGCCGCGCCTTCTCATTTGCTGGGCGTGATGGCCTTCATGACGGCGGGGAAGTTCTTGCGCACCTGCTTGAGGACCAAGCGGCGGGCCTTGCGCTGGAAGCGCGGGTCGGCGACCTTCTCCTGCACCTTCTCGACGATCTTGTCCTGCATCTTGTGCTGGCTCTTGCCGGGCTTGGACGCGGACGGGCGGTGCTTCCCGGACCCGGACGCGCTGGGCTTGTCCGACGCGTACGTGTACTTGGAGCCGGAGCCCGACGGGTAGCCGGCCGGCGCGCGCGAGCGCCCGCGCGACGACGACGACTTGTGCGGCTTGCTGCTGCTGCTTCGGTGGGGCGCCATGGCGGGGTGGGGCGGGGTGGGGCGGGGTGGGGCGGTGGTGAGCGGCTTGTAGAATGCAGGGTCGGGAGAGGGAACAGTGGCACGCTGCGGGGCGAGCGCACAGCTCTCAAGTACCGCGTGGAACGCACACATGTCATGGCCAAAAGGCCTCCTGTGCACAAAACGCTGTGCTGGCGCCACATGCCACTGCAGCTGTAAGCATGTAAGCAAGACTTACAGAGGCTCGAGGTCGCCGCATTACAGAATCTGCCCGTCCGCATTTTACACTGTAAGATGCGCAGCTGTAAGATGGCGTGCTGTAAGATGGCGTGCTGTAAAATTTACAGCACCCCATCTTACAGTACACCTCCGTATCTTACAGCTGCACGAGGTCGCAAAGTCTCGAGACCCTGCTGCCTCTGTTCAACCTCTTCATCCCTCCAAGTCATCCTTGCGCTCGGTCAAGCTCACCCGGTCAAGCTCGTCGCCCCTCCTCCTCCCCCGCGCTCCCCCCCACCTCCTCCCTCTCCCCCGCCGCACCACCCCCCGAACCACCCATGTCGCGCAACCACCGCCACCGCCACGAGCGCGTCTCGACGCTGCTGTTCCCGCCGTCGATGCCGTACCCGCCGCCGCCGCCGTACGCGTGTTACCCGCCGTACGCCCTGCCGTACATGCCGCCGATGCCGATGCTGCCGCCGCAGCCGCTGCCGCACCCGCCCTTCGCGGCCCCGCCCATGCACGACCCGCCCATGCCCGACCCGCCGCTGCACGACCCGCCCATGGCCCCGCCGCGCGCGTCGCAGGACCCGTACGCCGCCCGCCCGCCCAACGCGTACGCGGCACAGCCCCCGCCCGCCCCGCCCGGCTACCCCGCCGAGGGCGACCCGTCGATGTTGTACACAACAGTGACCGCAGCGGACG